GGGGTCCCGGCTGGGGAGCGACGCCCCCGTGCCGGCCAGACCACATCCAATCTTCCTTTAAACACTCCCAGGGACGGTGACTCCACCACCTCCCTGGGCAGTGTTAAAAATAGGTTAGGAACTGTTGTAGAATAGTTGATAGTTGTTAAGCGTGTACTATAGTTTGGTTATTGTAAAAAGGGTTAAAAGGGTAGTTATGAGAAATACGGTACTGAGCATACCGTATTACACCTAAGTGAAGTGCATCTCCCCCAAGCGAAATGAGCCAGCCGGGACAGAGTTGTAATGGCCAATCAACCGCCTTAAACCTTCATGCAAATAAAGGATCCAAACAGAAAACAATCCAGAGGGACAAAAAACAGGATAAAAAGGGGCATCTGGCCCACTGAATTTGTGCCGTTCCCCTGGGATATCGGGGCCATCGCTGCTGAGCAGCCCCAGCGCCGGCGCTGCTCCATGCTCGACGGGAGCGCTCCTGCTCGGCTAGGGGTCCCTTGCTTTAGGCCTTTCTTTTATTATGATAAATACTGAAATCAGTTCAGTACCGGGAGTCTGGTCCCGTTTTTAACAGGCAGCACGGTCTAATGTCTGAATCAGTTTTTCTGTGGAGAAATTGCTCCCAATATCCAATCTAAACCTCCCCTGGCACAGCTTAAGGCTCATTTCATCAACACCAAAAGTACCAGGACAGCAAAGCGCTGCTGGCCCTTACCTCCCCTGGGCAGCCTGGTGTCTGCCCCTGAAACACTGGGGCCAGCTGTTTTCTTTCCTATGGAAAAGCGTCACCATTCCCTTTTAGGGATCTACCACCAAAATTTGGATACCACCTCCAAGGACTAATACATCCAAGGATTGATCCCACTCAAAAGCTGTCAGGACAGAAAGGCGTTCCTGACCCCTGGACAGTCTTGTCTGACCCATCAACACTGGGACCATGAGCATTGCTTGCCAAGCAAAGGCACTGTCACTGTCTTTCAGCAGCCCAACTCCAAACTGTGGAGCTGATCTTCCAAACTGAATCTGTCTGGGGATTTCTCACAGAAAGATGGTGTGAGGGCAGAAAGGATTGCCTTTTCAGCCCTCAAACACCTGCACAAGAGCTGCTTTCCTTCACAAAGTAAAGCCCTGTCACCCTCTTTTTGCAGCCCATCTGCAAAATTTGGATTCCAGCTTCAGAAATTAAGAGCTCTAAAGACTGCTACAACCCAACAGGTGCCAGGAAGGTCAGATGTTATTCTGGCCCAGGAGCTTCAAATGCAGCTGGTGTGGGGGGTGTGGGCAAAACCCTGAATGTGTGGATGCCCTGCCCAGGAGGCTGAAAATCAGCCCAAGGCCACTGAGTTTCCCTAAAGCCATGGAGCCAGCTGGAGATGGGAACACACTTGGTGCCCCTGGGGTCTGGGGGAAGTGGAGCCCAGCAGCACTGAGACAGCTCTGTGTGGAAATGACTTTATAAATAAGGTGTAAGGTGGTCAGATGTCACAGACATCTTTTATGAAAAATCCTTTCCTTAGGATTTTTCCTTCTGAGAAGCTGAAAGGCCTCAGGAACAAAATGCAAACAATGATTATCTGCTGCTGTGGAATGCGACAGGTGCATCTGTGATTTGGCTCATGTTGTTGTTTCTAATTGATGGCCAATCACAGTGAGCTGGCTCAGACAGAGAGTCTGAGCCACAAACCTTTGTTATCATTCTTCTTTCTTTTTCTATTCTTAGCCAGCCTTCTGATGAAAGCCTTTCTTCTATTCTTTTAGTATAGTTTTAATATAATATATATCATAAAATAATAAATCAGCCTTCTGAAACATGGAGTCAGATCTTCGTCTCTTCGCTCAGACCCCTGTGAGCACGGTCACGGTCAGACAGCAGTGTCAGAGATAGAGACGTGCCATCCTCAGCCCCACAGAGACCCCAGCACAGCCCAGACAGGCTGGCAAGGCCCCAGCTGTGGGGCAGAACCTCACCTTTCATTACTCCTGCTGCTCCAGCACATCACACTCACTGATGAAGGTGAGCTGGTGCTCAAGCACTGCACTGAATCACCCCTGAGCACCATGAGGAAGAGCCCTGCTCACCTCAAACGGAGCAGTTGTGTTAATGCCCTGCTTCCACCATGGCACACCAAGCTGCTGTGAGCAGCAGCATCACTGCTGTGTCTGCAGAGTAACTCACAAAGCTCTCACAGCCCTGCAGCACCTTCCTGTCAGTGGCGCCCTGCATCATCCCCAGGGCCTCACTGCTCCTCTCCAGTGTAAACACACAGACAGATTGTCCAAAGTCCAAAGGTTTGGGGCTAGGAAATGGTTACTCAGTGCTCAAAATCAGGGCATTGCCTTTCAGTTTGAACATATCTGGGGAGCAGAAATATTTGTTAACCTTAGGAGGTTGAGCCTGGGAAGTTACAAGTGAAAGATCAACCATAGGTGGGAGCTGCTAACTCCAGATGTCAGGCAGGCTGCAGCCCATGGAACAGGGACCAGCTGCATGCAAGGGAAAGGGATTTTATGATGTCATTGCTGAGCCATAGATAAGGGTGGTGTATCTGATTTTCCCTAACCTGAGGACTGAAAAACGTTTCCTGCTTTTCTGGTTGATGTGTTCATGCCCTGGAGGGGTTCCAGGGGCCTGCATAACCCCTTTGTAGGGGGGTTATCCTTCTCAAGTCCCAAAATACTGTCAAACCTACTCCAACATTAGCTCAGTGAAGTAAAAAATAGGCCATTTCTTCAGAGCAACATGAACTTTCCTACATCTTCTTGCTCAACTCTGCAATCCTGGGGAAGCTGTTCCCAGGCACAAGCCCACACTGGGAGCAGCCAAGGGTGAGGAAAGCAGAGCCTGCAGAAGTCTCCAGGGTGGCCAACATGGCCCAAAACCAAGAGAGCTGGGGCCCAGGGCTGAGCAAGGTTTCTCTGAAGGAAACAAAGGCTTTGGCAAGG